CAGCTCCATGAAGCAATCCTTCCTCATTATTATTCACACTATAAACATTAGCTGGATACACCTCAGACAGATACAGTGCCATCCTATAGTGACCATTTTGACAAGCTAAATGAAGACAAGAACAACCTTCACCATCCACTGCTCCAAGAAGCTTCTCATGATTTCTAGTACCAGTAGTGGCTGATAAGAGAGACACGACTGTATTAACGTGACCATTAGCTGCTGCTAAGTGTAATGGAGTCTCTCTCTTCTCATTAATTGAATAAATATCAATATTAAGAGACTTGTAAGCTCCTGCTATAGTAGACACTATATCAGGATGACCCTGGCTGCATGCTGCATGAAGTGCTGTGTTACCATTGCTATCTGCCATGTCTACTAATTCTACACGTGGTTTATTGTAGCTTGGACTATCCAATAGATATTCTACTATTTCCAAGTGACCCTCTTGAGCTGACAGATAAAGTGGAGTACGACCAGAAGCATCAGTGATATCAGGATTACAGTAATGACCATCAATGAAAAACCTCAATATATCCAAAGACCCTCCCTTTGCCGATATGTGTATTACATTAAACCCTTTATCGTCCAGAATAGAAATGTTGCAGTTTTTACTGTTGAGGTAACGAATGATGGGAAGGTTCTTAGAGAAAGCTGCAATAAGTAGTGGAGTACATCCAAAGGAGTCGGTCATATCAAGAGATAATGGTGAATGGTCTATAATGTACTTGACTATACTCAATGATCCTTCTTCACAGGCTACATGAACTGGAGCCATTCCATTGTAATCTTTAATGGTGAGATCCAACTGATGCTCCTCCACTAGATGTTTGAGTATAGGAAGAGAATGACTTTTACATGATAAATGAAGAGCTCTTGATCCTTTTGATGTTTTAGCTGATACGTCACACTGAGGAAAACTAGTGAGGTAGAGAACTATAGCAACATGTCCTTCCTGACATGCTATGTGAAGCAGTGTAGATTGAATATCATCAAAGAGTTTAGTGGCATTAATATCAAATGAATAATTGTTTAATAAATGCTTTAAACAATACAAACGGTTGTCTTGTGCAGCATAAAATGGTAATACACCATTCTGAAATGAGGCTACATTGATATGATACTCTTGTCTGAGCCATTCTAGTATATGAACATGTCCAAAGGCCACTGCAGCTACTGGTGATGATGCTCTGCTAAATATTCTCGGATTGAGGTTATATTGTTCTATTAACAATTTTAAAAGATCAAGATTACCAGATTTACATGCACTTGTGACACAATTGTATCCATCCTTATCTTCAGTAGTGACATCACATTTCATTACATCAATTAGAAATGTCACTAGTTGTATTACACCACTAGCACAGGCATAATGAATTGGAAGGGAAACATTATCACCAGTAGAATGTAATAGGCTAGTAAATTGTGGATAATTATTAATAATATATTTAATAAATAAAAAATGACCATTCACTGAAGAATAATGAAACACGTTTGTGTTGTCTGCATCACCTACTCTATCCAAATCACATCCACAATCTTTTACTAAATACTCTAAGACATCAATAGCACCAACTTCAGCTGCAATATGAACTGCTTGCATACCATCACCAGCTTTAGTTTGAGGATTTAGTTTATATTCATTAACTAATAATTTAATTAATGATACTTTAGTACTACAAACTGCTTGAAGTAACACCACTGATGTTAGAGGCAATTGATGAATATTAATGAGGTATCGGACTAGCTTCATGTTACCACTCATAGCATTATGACCTAATGCATTCCAATTATCATTATCTGTTATGTTAATGTCACTGTCTTGTACTTCAATGAGATACCGACTCAGTTCAATGTTACCATGACGACATGAATAATGAAGAGGTGTTTTACCCTCATTACAGGTTATATTAATATCAATGTCAGTAGTATTCATAATATATTCTACTGCATTGATACTACCTGACATACAAGCTAATGCTAATGGTACTACACTTTTGTAGTCTGGTTGACTGGCATTCAACCTATACTCAGATACAGTATAACTGAGTAGAGTAGGTGATCCTGATAAAGCAGCATAATGTACTGCAGACCGACCCTCATAATCTAATGAACTTGTATTAATACCATACTCCTCTAATACCTTCACTAATAATATACTACCACTAGTACCTGCTAAATGAACCAATGATTGACCAGTAGCAGTAATAGAATTTATATTGAAATTATTAATAACGCTTGTCTTTTTGAGGAGTGTAGACAAAAGGCTCACTCTTTTATGCTGTTTAGTAACATTTATATTTAATGATATAAATTTATGCCAGTCTTTTTTGGAACTCACAAAAAATGTTGAAATTTGCTTAAGTAAAGGTATATCACATGGTGCAGTGAGCTTATTATACACTTCTGTAATGCAGTATTTATCAACCAATCCACTGCATAAGTAATGAAGAGAAGACCGACCACTATAATCAGCTTCTAGTAATACTTTATATCCAAAAATATTAACCATTTTCATAATCAAACCTGATGAAGCATACTGGCTTGCTATATGAAGTGGAGTTGTACCAAAACGATCTCTTTTTTTAAATAGTTCACTTTTATGATTATTATAAAGATACACTAGAAGCTCTACACTATCACTCATAGCACAATAATGTACTATTCCACATCCGTTAAAATCTATCTCATCTTCTGAGAAAATATCAAACTGCTTAAGCTGATCAATTAATGCTACCTGTCCACTCTTACATGCCAATAATGATAAAGTTGATCCTTCTCTATTCACCTGAGACACGTTACACTTCTTCTTTAAAAACATAATTACGAGGTCAACGTGACCACCCAGTGCTGAGTAAAGCAATCCCGTGTTACCAGAGCTATCTGCTATGTCTGAATCAACGTGACATTCATTAACTAGATACTGTGCAATATTGAGATGGCCTTTATATGAGGCCATGTGTAAACTAATAACACCATCATCATCACCTTGTGAAGGATCGCAATGATAAACATCAATGAGGAGACAGAGCACATCAATGTGGCCACCATATGAAGCAGCTAATGGTGGACTCCATCCATTTTTACCTCTTTCCTGAAGGCCAGTCTTGTCAATCAATTGTTGTACTTCATCTTTTAATCCTCTCCAACATGCTTCATTCACTGGAGTGCTGGTATTCTCATACCAGAGAGGATCATAAATATCTATATAATTTATCATAAATAAAGTTAATAATAATTTTTATTACTAATAGGAGAATCATGAAGCTTCTTTAATTTATTTTCTGGCAACTATAATAATAAAAAATATGATTATGAATATTTTTTTGTAATTAATGACATACCTGCTTCATTTCATGTACATAATCATGACAAGTAATTTTTATGATTCCAATCTCAGCCAATGAATCACACTGTTGATTGGTTAATGGAAACAGAACAGAATAAAGAAAATCAGGAATGGAATATTTTAATTCCATGCAGCCATCATCAATCGTACAAAAGTAGAATTTATATTGAGGAACTTCAAGTGCATCAGCGATTAGCTTGTGAAAGAAATATAAATCATTTAATGTGTAGTCGTCTCTGGCAACCTTAGCAATCATTACTTTAGTGCCTGGAACATCAGAAAGACCAAACTCAATTGAGTCTGCAATTTGAACTGCTGGAGTATTGTTATTTTTAAAATAATCTTTTAATTTCTCACGATATGTAGACCACTTCCTCTGTAAATCTCTCTCATCAGTAATGAAAGTATTGACTAACTTGACAACAAGTTCAAAATTGAACCATGAAACGTATTTGTC